TCACAGATGCGGTAAGTGAAGCCCCCACAGAGAAGGAAGGGGCACTAACATTTAGTGAGTGCAGTTATGTGCTGGGTGGGTTTTTATACATTTATAATTTCATTTAATGTCCATAGAGAAAATACAAGGTAGGTATTATTATCACCCCAGGAAACCTCAGAAAGGTGAAATAATTAACCCAAAGTCACACAGCCAGTACATATGCCTTTTTGCTGTACCATTCAATTAGTCTCCTCTCTTGAATTCGAATTTGATCAGTTACCCATAAAATGCTTTGATCTTCGTGTCATACCAGAAAAAAAGTGGGGGGAGGTTTAGGCATGTTTTGTTGGATTTTAATGCCAGCAGAAAGCCAGATGGCCAGAAAGAGTACACTTTAATTGTTCGCAATTTTGGCATTTAAGAGTGAGTGAAAAGGAACATGGATTTGAGGAAACGGTGCAAGGCATCACACATCTTTGTGAAGTGATTACGTTGAGACCACAGTCAAGCCAAGATAAACACCGAATCATTTCAAGTGAGGCAAACACAACCCAGTCTCTATCTTGCTCATTAGGAGCCCAGAGCCCAGAGCCTAGAGCTCAGGGGGGTGGGGGCAGAGTGGGGGAGGGGGAGGGAGGTTAGATCCCCAGCACTCCTGTAAACATTTCCAGGACCCCCCCCCCCTCACCCTTTGTCAGCTGTACATTAAACAGCCTCCTCAGGGCAAGGGGCGCCTTCTTTTGCAGACCTCCCGCCAGGCAGGGCCTTCTACCCAGATTTCTCTCTTTACCTGTCATTTCAGAAAAGCCCTGTGGCTCCTTCACTGCAGAGTTCTGTTCGGCCCTGGGTCCTCAGGTTTTCCTGAGCCCCTTGACCCTGAGGTGCTGTAGCTCTTGCCCACTCTTCCATCCGGTGTGACACTTCATCATGGACGGTATTCCTGGTTATCATTATGCTCATCCAAGAATGCTACAATCAAGCTTTATAAATAACCGAATTGTGGCAGTGAGCTGTGGAATGCACCTCAGATGATGGTGCTTTACTAGACACAAGAGATTCTTAGGAGAACAAAAAGCACAGACACTCAGCAGTGGTGATAGGCTACCCTACAATGGCAAGCAGAGTGGGAGAGGCTGTCAGCAGTGTGCAGAGGACCCTCTCCAATAAGATGATGTGGTTATTATACATAATTAATGGGGGAGAATTAAGAAGAGGACAAGGCCAGTCTGAAATCTGAGGAGCTCCCCAGAAGGAAACCTCGCTTTGCTGAACTCTGTAACCTCACTTCAAAGCGTTTTATGGTGCCGATAAGTCTATACACACATACTGTAGTGAACTTCTTGCCTTCAGAACAGTCAACAGTGGAGTCGAACACTGAGAGTCATGGTAAGAACTCATGCCCAGCAGCTGTTTCCCATCAAAGTGGTCAAAGCCCTGATCGGAGGTTTATGGCAGCAGTTTGGCACTGCCCAGGCGTGGAGTTCACTGCTGCCCCACATGAGGCTCTTTGGGGTTGTCAGGAAAAAGGGCTCGGATGTCCCGCCTTCAATGGTGGAGGGTTATGATTAACACAGAAAAGTAAAATCCCAAAGTGTAGTATGTAGCTAAAACCTCAGGCTCTGAAGTCAGGCTAACTGATTCAATACTGGCTCTCCCATCCCTATGTTAGGGTGTAAGTTATTTAACTTCACTCAGCCTTCATTTTCTCATCTGTAAAATGGGAAGATTAATATCTAACTTATTTAATTTTTGAAATTAAGTGAAATAATGCTAGTAAAGCACTAAAAAAGGTGTCTCGTACTCAAAACAATGTTAGTTTTTTCTCAAAATTCACCATTAAGAAAATGAATCAGTAAGCTACAGACGAGGAAAAATATGTACACATATTTAGCTGGAAAAGTATCCATATTTAGAATGTATAAAGAACTGTTACACATCAACAACAAACAGATAAACCACTCAATTTTTTTTAATGGGCAAAAAACTTGAAAAGATATTTTACAAAAAATGATACACAAAAGGGGTATGGGGTGGAGGGGGTCCATGAGGGAAAAGGGGGACATCTGTAGGACTTTCAACAATAAAGATAAATTCAAAAGAAAGATATACAAATGAATATTAGCACTAAAAAGGTGCTCAACCTCATAAATCCTCAGAAAAATGCATATTTGAGATACAATGAGATGGCATTTCACACCCAATAGAATGGCTGAAATAAAAAAGACTGACCACTGAATGTTGGCAATGGTGTGGAACAGCTAGAACTCTTGTGCACGGCTGGTAGGAGTGTAAAAAGTTAGTCACTGGGAAACAGCCTGCAATTTCTCAGACATTTAAGCATACATTACCCCGATGACCCAGAAATTATACTCCTTGGTATTTATCTAAGAAAATCCAAACATATCCTCAGGAAAACTTAACATGAATGTTTTTAGCAGCCTTATTCTTAATAGCCCCAAAGTAGAAACAATTCACATGCCCATCATCAGGAAAAAGATAAATTACAGAATATCCCCTGACAATGGAATGCTACTCAGCCAAAGAAAGGAAATAACAACAACATGGATGATTCTCTAAACCAGTGGTCGGCAACCCGCGGCTCGCGAACCACATGCGGCTCTTTGGCCCCGTGGCATGGGCCACGAAGTTTCAATCGCACTGTACGTGCGCGCCTGCACGTGGTATTTTGTGGAAGAGCCACACTGCTCTAAACTATCACGCTAAGCAAAAGAAGCTAGACCCCAAAGGCACATTGTATACGAAGCACCAGAGCGGGCACATTTCACTATAGTGCTTATGGCACAAGAAGGATCGACTAGAAAGGAGCACAACAGGGTTGTCTGGGGTCATGAAAATGTTCTATCCAGTTCTGGGTGGTGGTTACATGAGCATATGCGTTTTTCAAAATTCATTGAATGGGACATTTAAGATCTTTGGATATTGTGTTAAATTGTCCATCCACAAAAAATAAAGGAATGCTATCTATTTCATCATTGTTACAACAAATCCTCTCCTCCGCAGCACCACAGGACTGTGGAGAACTGGAACGTGACTTGCAGATGTACAAAACTCCAACCTCCCGTGGTCCCATCAGAACGGAGCCTCTGTGACTTCCTAGTGAATCCGTACTCTTATGACTCGGATTCTCTCTCTGAGAGACTTCTACTGCTGTCTCCGTCTTTACTTACTCTTGGAAATAAGATTTGGAGAGTTAGTTAGCGCTCTGTTGTGTCCATATTGCTTTGATTTCTCATACCCAGCCACCTCAGAAGCCTCTGCTGCCCTTGCTGGTGACATATAAAGTTGCCTTTGTCAGAACACTATTTCTTTCCAGCTTTATTGAGATATAATGGACAGTAAGTGTAGTTAACATCCATCATCTCATATAGATACAAAAAGGGGGAGGGGTTCTCCTTGTGATGAGCACTCTTAGGATCTACTCTCTTAACAACTTTCAAATATACCACACAGCAGTGTTGACTAGAGTCATCTTATTGTACATTACATTCCCAGTACTTATTTATCTCTTAACTAGAAGCTTGTACCTTTTGACCACCTTCATCCAATTCCTCCACCCCCACCACCTGCTTCTAGGCCCCTCAAATCTGATCTCTTTCCTGAGTTTGGTTTTTAGGTAGGTTTTTTTTTTAATTGATTTTTTTAGAGAGACAGGAAGGGGAGAAAGAAACATCGATGAGAGAGAAACATCAACATCAATTGTCTGCTTCCTGTACGCCTGCCACAGGGCATTGAGTGGCAACCCAGGCATGTGCCCTGACCAGGAATTGAAATGGTGACTTCTTGGTGCATGAGTCGACACTCAACGACTGAGCCACAACAGCCGGGCAGTTTTATTTTATTTTTTTTTTTAATTCCATGTGTAAGTGAGATCATACAGTATTTGTCTCTTTCTGTTTAACCTATTTCACTTAACATAATGTCCTCAGGTTCCACCCATGTTGTCACAAATGATAGGATTTCCTTCATTTTGCTGGCTGAATAATATTCCATGGTATGGGAGTGTGTGTGTGTGTGTGTGTGTGTGCGTGCGCGCGTGTGCGTGCGCCTTACTATTTTAAATAATGCAGCTATGAACATGGGGGTGCATATATTTCAGGTCCAGTCTGTGTGGCCAGGTTGGCAGGGTGTCATGACACACTTCATGGCTACTTGGTCAGAGGTAGGAATTCCAGAGGCTGTGGGTGGAGGGCAATGGGAGGTCCCTGAGCCAGTCCTTGCAATGACCATGTCTATCACAGGGAAGCAGAGCCCCTGGGACCCCAGTTTTTACATCTTGGGCTCTAGTTTTGGAACACATGTCACTGCAGCAGGAAATGACTGTGTTTTACACCCATCGTACTGCTCCAAGACCTGGTGGTCTAAGCATAAAGTCACAATGTTACCAGAGCTATGTCACTAACTGTACGCAGCTGTCAACTGTTAACTCCTCAGTGATGACCAGAAAAACCTGTTGTAGGGACAGGATATTTTCAGGTTTTTAGGACCTGAACTGAGTACTTTTTTAAAAAATTTATTGTCTAAAGTTTTACATATGTTTCCCTTTTCCCCCAATTGACCCCTCCCCGCCCCAGCCATTCCCACCCTGGGCAAGCCCCCACCGCCCATGTCTGTGTCCATTGGTTATGCTAATATGCATGCATACAAGTCCTTTGGTTGCTCTCTACCCCCGCCCCTTTCCATTTGTCTCTGGATCTATTCTTGTTCATCAAATTATATTGATCATTATATCCCACATATGGGTGAGATCGTGTGATATTTAGCTTTCTCCAACTGGCTTATTTCGCTTAGCATAATGCTCTCCAGATTCATCCATGCTGTTGCAAATGGTAAAAGTTCCTTCTTTTTTATAATGGCGTAGTATTCCATTGTGTAGATGTGCCACAGTTTTCTAATCCACTCATCTGCTGATGGGCACTTAGGCTGTTTCCAAATCTTAGCTCTTGTAAATTGTGCTGCTATGAACATAGGGGTGCATATATCCTTTCTGATTGGAGTTTCTGGTTTCTTGGGATATATGGACTGAGTACTTTTTAACAGGACTTGCATGGTGAGGAATTGGTTGAAATTAAGCAAAGTTTGAAACAATGTCTTTGCATTTGTGGGCTCAGTGAGGTGAGGGTATTGAGGGGCATCTTGATGAGCAAGTTGTTGCTATTGATTGGAGAGCTGTTTAGTTGGTTCGTACTCATCTCTCAGGAGTAAGAGCTTCCTGGAGCAAGCAACTCTATCTCAGCATCGATAAAGCCAGGACAGAGAACTGTTGTTCAGTTCTCACTGATTTACCTATAAAAATTTTAAAAGCAATTTCTCACTTATTCTGTAATCAACTGCCTTCAAGTCCAGCAATTGCAAAACAAGGTTTTTGGTGTGAGTCGCAGGTATGGGGAGCCCCTGGACCGTGAGAGCAGGTTGTGATAAGTGTCTGTTGTTTCTTCAACTCCTATGAGACAGTTGACACTTTTGATATTGTATCCGCTGTTTTCATTTTATTAAGTTTATGACCCAGTGCACTCTTGGATTTCCTCATTTGCAAAATAGGGATAACAAATTATCTACCTTGTGGAATTGTTGTGAGACTTAAAGGAGGTGCATAAGTGTGAAGAGCTATTATTACAGTACTAGAGGCCCGGTGCACAAAATTTTTGTGGGTGGGGGGTGGGGGGGAGCATCCCTCAGTCTGGCCTGCACCCTCTCGCAGTCCAGGACCCCTCAGGGGATGTCCACCTGCTGGCTTAGGCCTGATCCCGGGGACCTGCTCGCTCCTTACCACAAATCTTGCTGCTCCTTAGCAACAGGCTCCTTACAGCTCAGCTGCTCCTTAGTGCTGCCGTGGAGGCGGGCGAGGCTCCTGCCACCGCTGCTGTGCTCACCAGCCATGAGCTCGGCTTCTGGCTGAGTGGCACTCCCCCTGTGGGAGCACACTGACCACCAAGGAGCAGCTCCTGTGTTGAGCATCTGCCCCCTGGTGGTCAGTGTGTGGCATAGCAACTGGTTGTTCCGCTGTTTGGTCAATTTGCATATTAACCTTTTATTATATAGGGTTATTACTTCCTCTTTTCTCCAAGCCTGGACTCCAAAGCAATCTGTTAGGCCAAGAACAAACATGTCTTGACAAGTTTTGCTGTGACACACACCTCACTTCTCACCCTCGTAACCAGGAACACCAGGATGGCCAGAGTAGTAATTTGAAATATTGAGAAACTTCCATCCAGTTGTTCCAAGTTCCTCAAGTGTCTCCCCACCCCCACCACCACCAGCAGCACCTCTGTTTTCTCTCTTGGGCAACCCCTTTCCTGGGTTTCCAGAAAGGGCTCCCAGGCCCTACTCACCGCAGCTCTGGCTCCACTCTCCACCTCTGCTCCTGGTTCCAGCTCCCGGCACCCTTTTGCTCCTTCCTCTCCTGATACTAACCTGTCCAGATAATAATGTGCAGGTTTTTTAATGTTGCAGCGAGCCTGGGGCTATATTCAGGTGCACACAGTTATAAGGAAAGAGTCTCCGGCGGTTAATCACCTCAGTTTAATCTCATTTAAGAATTACTTACTGAATTGGGCATTATGTTGAGCTGAGGGTTATCAAACAAGGAAACTCTTCTCAAATCCTCAGCTGGCGAGTGTCCTGGGCTGGTAAGTCTATGCTACAGAGCCCACCTCAGCCTCGGGGCTCAGCCAACTCCCTTGTCCCTGCCTATTCCTGGCGACAGCCATGGGGCTCAGGCTAACATGTTCTCCTCGTGTCCAGCCACTTCCAGATTTAAGCCTTGTCCACTAGCAGCCTTCCCTGCTGCACCCAGATGGCCAGTTTCTCCTGCTTTTGTCAGAATTAGATGCAGTTTATCTCCCCGAAAGGGATAAACACACATTCCTGTTTCCCTGCTTACTGCTAGGCACATGTCCTGAACGCGGAAACCGTAATCACATCATATTATCAGACCCATCCACAAGGTGGGTGTTTGGTGGGGACGGACATTCACCACAGGCCTCCCTTTCCTCAGCCTCCCCGCTGTCTCAATGTCGGCAGCAGCAGTGCTATTGGCTCAGGAGTGGGAGGAGGCACAGCCTGTGTGAAGGAGCAGATGGCTGCAGAGGGGTGGAGGCTGGGCCGCTCCCCACCCCCGGCCTGGCTGGTCCTGGCAAGTTCACTGACACAGCACAGCCAGGGCACGGCAGCAGCCACCTCCCTGGTCTCCCACCTCCCCTCACACCCACCGCCATTTGTGTTCCATTGAGCCTGCCTCTCCTTGTCAGCACGGAGCCCTGTCACATGCTGTGCAGCAGCCTTTGTTGATTCTGTAGCTACAGGAGAAAATGCCAGCTCCTTGGCTTGGCCCAGGCCACTTCCCACACTCTATAGAGTGCTCCTGTCACACGACCCTCCAATCGTTCCTAAAGTTATTCTACCTGTAGCCACTCTCTAGACTCTGCCCCAGGGCACAGGCTGTTCCTTCCACCCAGAATTCCTAGGACCTCCCCTCACATCCTTCCCACCTGCCAAACTCCTATTTGCCCTTCAAGACCCACTCCAATAGCCCTTCCTCTGGAAAGCTTTCCCAAAGTCCTTTGTGGGAAGATGGCTGTTCCCTCCTAGAGGTCCCCTTAGCACTGGATTCATACATCTGATAACACACATTTCCAGGTTTCTTATAATTTATCTGTTTACATATTTCTCTCCCCCACTAGATGGTATGATCCTTGGGTACATAATTCTTGTCATAAGTTGATGTTCAATATATTTAGTGGATGTATATATATAAAAACCTAAGCAACAGAACAAACGGTTGCTATGATGCACACTGACCACCAGGGGAGACACTCAATGCAGGAGCTGCCTCCTGGTGGTCAGTGTGCTCCCACAGCCAACCTCCCACAGCTGGCCAGCCTCCCGCAGTCCCTCCCCCTGGCCAGCTGGCCCCAATTGGCCCTGATCGGGACTGGGTGAGATGGCCCCTGATCTGGCCCGATCGCCAGCCAGGCCAAGGGACCCCACCCATGCATGAATTTGTGCACTGGGCCTCTAGTAAGTTAATAAAAAGTCTAATACTTACAGTTTCTTCTTAAGTTTTCTTATGCTTCTCAGTACTATCAATATTTTCACACTTCTTTTTCTTCCCCATTCACTCTTCCTGGGGCTTAGGGGTTTGAGGAAAAGGGAATTGTAATGACTGTGAAGTGAGGCACCCAGGCCTCTAGAATCTTCTACCTTCCCTTTTCTAATGCTCTTTCCCCACTTTGAAGCCCAGAGGGAGAGCACAGCCAAACCCCAACTGCCAGTGGGTGACCATGGGTGAGTCACTTAACATTCCAGGCTCATCTGAGAAATGAGAGATTTGCACACGGTGGTGTCTAAGGTTATCTATCAGTTATAAAGAAAGCCACTGGAATTCTAGGCAGTCCCAACTCACTGGAAAATCACTTCTATGCAGAGGCCTCTTCAGTGTCTACCTGTGAGTAAGAGCCACCTGGGGACAACGCCCTCCTGTCCTGGCACAACCCTCCCACCTGCTGACCCGAAGCTGCCTCCTAGCTTCCGGCTCAGCACCTGGAGGACTTCACTTTGACTCACGGTGACACAGCAGCCTTTCAACCACTGCAGCTGGAATAGTCCAGACTTCTCCATTCACAGATGTCTGTGTGTCCCCATCTCCTGGAGCTTCAAATGCCACCACTTACACCTGGACTATTTGCAGAGCCTCTCAGAGGTGAAACTCTCCATCAGGGCCTGGGAACGTCAGGCAGGTAGCACATTACACAACTCTAGGGGCATCCTCCGTGCTGACATCACATGGAGTTGTACATGCATGGGAATAATTTTCCAGCCGATAGCAGCAAGGCATCTGGGGAAAAAGTGCCTTTTCTAACTCACACAAAGATGCATTGAGGTTAGCTGCCATGGTGCCCTCCCCTTTTTTAAACTATGCTAAAATGGGATTGTGCAAATTGTGAATTATTAATGTTTCCACATAAAAATAATATATTTTTAAATTATGCTAAAATATGCATCACATAAAATTTACCATCTTAATCATTTTTAAATGTAGAGCTCAATAGTCTTAAATACGTTAATGTACAACAAACCTCCGGAACTCTTCATCTGGCAAAGCTGAAATTCCATACCCATGACATAAGCCCCACTTCTCTCTCCCCCTGGCCTCGAGCAACATCCTTCTGCTTTCTGTCTCTATGGATGTGACTACCCTGGGCTCATCTCAGTGGAGACATACAGGACGTGTCTTTTTGTGACGGACTTGTTTCACTTAGTATACTGTCCTCGGGGCTCATCCCTGTTGCAGCATGTGACAGAGTCTTCTTCCTTCTTACGGCTGAATCATATTCCGTTGTGTGGATATACCATGTTTTGTTTATCCATCCATGTCAATGGATATTTGGGTTGCTTCTACCTATTGGCCATTGCGAATAATGCTATGAGCGTGGCTGTACAAATTAATAATTTTAACACACCCAAGAAGTTGGATGATGAATAGTTCCTCTGGGATTACTTGTTTAGCCTCATTTCCTTTTGTGGCTATGAAGCCAGGACTCCACTGCCCCCAGCCCACACCACTGTAGGCTCCTTTATACGGTCCTTCCAGCAGACCTCCCTTGCATAATTGGCAACCACAGTAACTAATTTTTAAAAAAATATATTTTATTGATTTTTTACAGAGCGGAAGGGAGATAGAGAGTTAGAAACATCGATGAGAGAGAAACATCGATCAGCTGCCTCCTGCACATCTCCTACTGGGGATGTGCCCGCAACCCAGGTACATGCCCTTGACCGGAATCGAACCCGGGACCCTTCAGTCTGCAGGCCGACGCTCTATCCACTGAGCCAAACCGGTTTCGGCCACAGTAAATAATTTTTAACAACCCTCCTCGATACAATGAAATTATTTTCAGAAATAATCATGAATGAAATAATGAGTAATGAGATAGCCAGAAAAGAAATGCAGACAGTATTAATTTTATTTCATTGAACTCTGCAGATATTGAGACCTGAAACTGTCTACAGCCATACAGTTTACTGTCTGCACTAACATGATTTTACTCTTCAAGAAAATGCTTAATCAGGAAGATAAAGTTGAAGTTCCGGAAAAATTGATCTATCCAAAAAATAGACTATCAGTTTGCCCTTAGCGAGTATCTTAGTTCGGGCTGCTATAACGAAATACTACAGACTGGGTGGCTTAAACAACAGGCATTCATTTTCTCAGTTCCAGAGTCTGGGAAAGTCCAAGGTAAAATGCCAACAGGTTAAGTTCTTGGTGAGGGCCCTCTTCCTGGCTTGTAGACAGCCACCTTCTCGCTGTGTCCTTACGTGGCCTTCCCTCATTGTGTGCCTGGAAGCTCTGGTCTGTGTTCCTCTTATAAGGACACTAATCCCATTCATGAGGGCTCCACTCTCATGGCCACTTTTAAACCTAATTACTTCCTGAAGGCCCTGCCTCCAAATACCGTCACATTGCGGGTTAGGACTTTAACATATTAACTTGGGGAGGAGGGGGCTGGGACACAAACACTCATTCCACAACACTGGATAAACAGCTCCTTCTCAAAGCAATCGTTAGCTCAGCTGAGCTTGTCAAATAATTGTTTACTTTTTGAAGACTCACTCCAAAGTCCTAACTTCACCATTAACCAATACTAAGCTATTATATCATGAAGTTTATCCAATCCCAATTCCGCCTGACATTGAAAGACCCACCTTAAACTAGACCCCAGAAACCTCAGAAATAGCCCACCTCTGGGCACCTAACACAAGATCCCAAGCCCTCTTCTTACTCTATGCCCAAATCATGTCCGTTATCGTGAGATGGGGGTGAGTGGACGCTGGATGCACAGCGGGGCTCTGAGGGGCCTCCGCCTGCCCAGGGCCTCACCTTGGGGATCCTAGCCCTCACTGGCATGCCCAGGTCACCAGCAGTAGCAGTGGCACCTGCCTCTGGCCCTGGCCGTGGGTGAGGGGAGAAGTGAACAGCCCTACACCAAGGCCCCTCACGTTTACTTTGTTGAAGAAACAAAGCCCGCAAGATTCATATACTGTATGACGTAGAGAAAAACGTACCTAATGTTCCCCCAAAAAAGACAGTATATTCTGTACTTTGTCAAGTGTTAATCCACATGGAGACAACAACGAAAAAAATATCCCACCTCTGACCTCCTTCTTCTGAGACGCTACTAAGACTTCACCAAGGTAGTGATCTCCACACAGATCAGTGGTCATCAACATAATCCAGTAAAAATTTTAATAAAAATGTAAAATAAATATTTTAGGACACAAAAGGAAACATGTAATGGGTTGGTACGTTTAAAAACATTAATTTTATTGAAAGAAGCAGAGCCTTATAACTACAGATGGTGTGTTGTGGTAATGAAAGGCAGGCCCTGCAGTTTCTGTTTTCAAGCCTTCACTTCTGCACCTTTGTCAAGGGCTGTCAAAATCAACGTTCATTACCTGTTTATAGAAAACATAGCTGTCTCCACCCATATTAAACAAGGCACACTTTAAATACTTTAATTTTGAAAATCTTCCAAAAGAAACAATATATACACAAATAGTTAAAAAGGATGGGATTGGCAGCGATTCATAATGATCCCACTTCACAGTAAATCCCACAGCTTATAATTATAGCAGTTTTCAAATGTCTCTGCAGTTAAAAAAAAAAATCCCCTAAATTTTCTTCACCAAAAAGTCATCACACATTTCCACTCTATTTGGTTAAAAACTTCCCCAATTTTTCTTTTGCAAAAATCAGAGAACGTAGCTGAGTGACAATAAACATTGATTGTATTTGATCCTTTTTGCCTTAGAATGAGGATTCAGTTCTTGGTGGAAATAACTGAGGCATTCAAACATTGTCCTTTTGTTTTTTCCTGCAATGTAAGACCAGCATCTTCTGAGGTTTCTCCTGACAGTCTTCTTTAAAACGTCCATTTCCTCATGCTTTGGTGTCGCAGGGTTCATGGTATTCTCCACCACTTCTGTGGGCCAGTCTTCGGTGAACAATCCTAAAGCTTAGCATTTCACTGGGTGTTGTTCTAGGTTGATTCTGGCTATTTCCAAGTGTGTGTGTAGGGTCACAGAGAATGACAGAATTAAAGTTACTGTTTGTTTTTATAATCACTGTTACTGATCATTTCAGATCTACAGTTTAGACTCAGGAATATATGACTCAGCTGTTCCCAAGTTGAGGTCTAATGGTTCCAGTTTATCATGAACCTCCCCCTGAGACAAATGCTTCCCGCTGAGTCTGCATGTGCCCTAGGCCAGCTGTATACTGGAAGTTCTCCAAATCAACGCCCATGACATTGAACACAATGCTTACGAAAGGATAAGAAATAAAATAGTGTTAAATGGAGACATGCATATTACTTACCTAAGCAGAAACCAAAGTAGTTGTTTAGAATTTAGACCAGAAAAAAGATTTTCATGAAGAACTATTTTATCACTGTCATTGTTTAGACTTGCGGGCTGATGGCGATTGTAAAAAGCAGGCCACTTTTTAGATGGCTTTATTGTTGTTTTTAAATTCCTGGTAGACAATGCACCCCTTACTGCCTGCACGAACGGGGTTGTTCCCATTACCCTGCCATCTGCAGCCACCGCCCCCTGAGTCAGCCAGGGATGGAGGCTGGGGGACAGGAGAGACGCCGGAGAGACTGCTCTGCACAGCAGCGGGACTTCTTCCTTGTAAACAGAATTTCCTTCAGGTCTCTGCCCCTCGGGGAAGAGGGCACATTCAGGAGAATATACTGATTAATCTAAGGCTTTGTGTGGATTCCGTTCCCTTGCCTGTGATTGGTTTAGGCGTGGGTATTTATTGAAGTTCCAGCCAAGAAGCCTAAAAGAAAAATCTGTTGTAAGGGCTTTCAAACCCATCAATGTGCCCCAAGCATGCTTATAGCTAAGACTTATAAATAAATTACATACACACATGTGTATGTATGTATATGTACATGTACATGTACGTATATATTGGAGACAAGATGATACATACATATATAAATATGCATATTAGAAAAATGTAATACATAGATATCTTGTTTTCAATGTATCTGTATGCTTTCAAGAGTAATAAAAATACATTCACATAAAAGAGGTACTAAATTCACGGTAGCTCTTTGTCTTTAAGTATTTTTCAGTCAAAGGATACTAAAAATATAAATATTACCAATACAGGTTCATGACTTATCTTTATGTTTAAAAGGTGTCCTC